TGATCAACGCATGTAGTCGTTTCAGAAGCCGCATCGAGGCCGTAATCGAGGTTGAAGGAGGTTTTATTGAATAGCCTTTTGTTATGTGTATGTAAGAACATGTGTACCAAATTCTATGAAAATATATTGGTTTTTCTACTGAATATTTTTGTTTTCCTCAAATTTTGTTCTCAAATAGCTGACGCACCCTGTACGTAAATAATGACTTAAAATTACTGAATGCCTAAAAATGCGCGTCCGTTCTAGCATGTTCCAAATTAAATAGCTTGTTTCGTGCATATATGCATATATAGCATACGTTAACCCTAAACTTGTATTTTTCTCTCCAAAAACATCAATCGAATATCCCAAGATCAAGTGCTGCTGGAAGTTCGTTCAATTGATTTATTCAAAGTCTTCAAAGGGAATGATTACATTCAGCTATCTGGAAGATGATAACGAGCGTTGTTCTCTATATATTAAGGCTAGAATGCTGAAGCCTGTTTTGGCTAAAAGTCCATTATAAATCCACTAACTCCAATGAAGAAAAAAAAAACTAGCTTAAAGGCCTTCTATCTCGCCTAAAAAAAATGTTTCAGCATTCGTGCCTACGACTGACAATACTGCTTCGCTCCTACCAGCCGTATTATTAACAATGATACCTGATCTAAGCACTCGTGGTCATTACATGTTCGAATGTACGAAGTTTTAGTCCCATTTTGAATTTGAAGAATTGGAAGCATTTGCCTTAGTTGTGGTACTCGTTGTGATGGAAGTTTTGCTAAAAATAGAGTACCTCTGCGTAGTTTGCTACGGTGTCCAACGATACATATCTGCAACAGACACGTTTGCTGAAATGAACGTTGTACTGGGAATAGCAAAATTCAGCCAATTTAAAGTTCATTCAAATTATGTCCATCTAGTGCTAGTAGTAAACGTAAAATTATGTCAATGAACGACACGGCGGGCGTGGATGCACCTACCCTGATTGCACTACACATGTAGGGTAAAAGACCCAGTGATGGGCCACGTCGCAGGAAAATTACAAAAACGAGGCATTTGTAGTATGAACACCTCTACAGTGTGTATGTGCTTGCACGCTGCTAGATCAGTCTGTCAACAGTGGTAGAGAATGGCGCAGCATTTTCCGAACAATAGAGACGAACGCGTTGACATGCTGCCAGTGCATGGAGAGGCAAGAAGAAAATACGTATATACAACTTCAGGGCTGTACAAGAACGATACCCAGACCTGCGTTATTAAGCTTTACTTCGTCCCATCTCCATCATGTTTATGCAACCCAATTTGCTGCGTCATCTTAGCTTTTGCACCTTATATAAACAGGGCAGGCTTTATGGTTAACGAAAATATATGCAATGAATGATAATATTGCGATGGGAAAAGGATACCTATAACCTAATCGGATTTCTCTTAAGATTCGTTGAACTTCTCAAACGGGCCTTAAGTTATTCCAATCTCGATCCATGAGCCAATCGCGGGGCACTTCATTGTCAGCTATACACGGTCAACTTGCTCGTAAGAGAATAAAGTTTCGCGGATTCGCCAATGTTCAACATGAAATTGAAAACTTCCTAAAATCAGATGCCACGTAAGGACGATAGCTAACTTTTTGAGTTTTTCGACCATGTAAGACTTCCAAGAATACCCCTTTGTCCCTGCCCTTGAACGGGACCGTGAGGTCTGACCGGAATTGCGGTGGAAGATGCGCGCCTATCCTCCGTTCCGCACACCCGTTTCACCCCCTTTATTGAACCGCATTTCCGGGAGATAATTGCTTCCGAAAGTCCCCACTCAGTCTGGTGTCGGTCAGAAGTAGACTGATTCTGTTTTTATTCTTTACTCTTTTGAGAAAAAAGCGTGTAATGCTAGAAAAGATGACAACCGAATCTGTATATATACTTCAGATTATATACTTAGAGTATATATACTCTTTGGGGGAAAAATGAGCAATTTTGAGGTTCAAAGAGAATTTATCAGTGAGTCCAGCGGAGGGAAGAAAAAAAAAAGTAAATAGAGAAGCTTTTGTCTGTTATTTTGTGCTTGAGCATGCACCCTCAAACTATCCGTCCAGTCACCAACCCATGCACCCACGAAGATGAACTAATTTTATCATGTTCCAATTCGGACCAACGTTTTCTTTTGTGTCTTCGAATTGTGGTCTGGTTCACAGATCACAGTTGATACAGTGCATTGTATGGTGTGTGTTTGCGGAGGCTTAAATAATAACTAGGCATGTAATGCGTTTAATCTTCGAGTAGTGGTACTCTTGGTTCAACGAAGAAAGATCCTTAGGGTAGAAGCTACCGTTGCGACGGTTCTTCTTGCAACGACGGATGATCTCTCGTTGATTCTCGCAGGAAGCATTACTTCCAGGTTTGAGAGAATCGGTTCGAACCTTCGACTCTGACGTCTCCGTGCATTCGCTCCATTCTCCCTTCTCGTAGCGACACTCTGTGGAAACAGAACATTCATAGAGACCTCTAAGGAACAGCTCATCATGTCCTCATGCGAAGAAAATAAAAGAAATGGGGAAGACGCCAGGGTTGGCAACTCCTAATCGGATTGAATTCAGATGGGAAACGCTGATAAATCCAATCCATCAGCCCCAATCCTCTTCCTGCCCCCCTCATCCTCGCAGCCCAGAGCGGATTTCATTTTGCGACTGGGCCTTTTTCCATTGAAGGAAAAATGGACGGGGAGAGAGGGGAAGCCCGGGCTTCAACAAGCATGCAGGATCGATAGATGAGATGAGGAGTAGCAGCTGCTACAGCCGCACGAAACTTTCCTCTCCCGCCCCGATTTCGTTTCACTTCATCCCAACGAAGAAGAAAACTCAAGCTGCTTTGTCGGTGCGACGAAAACAGAGGGCGGGAAGTTCCACGAATATTCACCCTTTTTCATCGCTCAAAGAAGCTAGAGCATTCGATGCATGCATAATTCATGAGAGTAGTGAGTATTAACTGCCACACCCTGTGCCGCTCCTGCCACGCGGGGATACGTCTCCGCTTTCCTTCTCATGCCCTTGTGACTCACAATGTCAAGGGTCTTCAGACGTGAGATGATTAGAATATAATGAGGAAAGGTCGTCGACTCACTCTTTCTGCAGGGCCTGCGAATGGTTCGTGTTCGCTGGCAGGAGGGATCGTCTTTCTGTAATGTCAAGGACCGGGACCTCGTGTTCGTCTCCGGGTCACATTTGCTCCAGGGTCCCTTCTGATAGGCACAGCCTGCTTCCACGAGAAGCAAACAAAGAAAAAAGAGAGAGCGAGAGATATAAAAGAGTGTGGTGGGGAACGAGGAGAAGTCGTATCTTGTTCGCTTCAGAAAAGATGCAATGAAGAAGAGAATAAATCCAGGACAATGGAGATGGAAATTCTGTTGATTCTTCTTCACTGTCGTGCCTCAAGGAAAAGAGAGGCATTCATAATGCTCACTGAATGCGAAAGAGGGAAAAGAACAAGTAGAGAGAGATAGGAAGTTATAAATTGCGATTTATTTTTTAAATTCCAATTACATGACTACTGATGAAGGAGTGAGGAGCACTCACTCGCAATTCAGCTCAAATCAGCCTACAACGTTTGAGATTTTTTTTGCCAGAAAATAAAGGATTTCACGCGTAAAGAAACCCTTTTTGTTCCGAGATCTACATGTGAACCTTCCCCACGTACAGAGTGACACTTACCGAGGGACAAACGTTCCGAAACACCCGATTAGACCAATAGAGAGAGGCAGACATATGCTGATACAAGCAGCAACAAAAAAGTCATTTCAGCGAATTCAACTATGTGCATTCGCACATGGTGCAGGGCTGAGCAATGTTGATAAACACTTGCATTTTATACACGTACTGTAATGCAACTGAAGTATTTAGTATTTAAATCGAGGCTGTACCGACTCATGGACAAGTTTGCACACTGCTGATGCTGATGGCCCAGCCCCTTCTCAATCCTCCCCCCTCCCCCCCATACAAAATAACAGAGGACGTGCGCGGGTGACTGTGACCTGGCGCCTGATTTCACGACTCCCCGTCAAGAAAAGGAACAGCTCTTTACGAGCTTCTCCCATGCAAAAATAAATCCAAACCTAGAATTACACGATTCAATCCTCTGAGGCCGGGAGAATGAAGGCACCGGGAATCCCGTCACTCTAAATGTTTACAAAAAAAAAGACCGCACACGTGCTTATAGCCTCCACCAAGCCAAAAAAATAAACCAACCAGAAAGGAGAGGTAGCGTCATAAATCAATAAAGTGGAATGAGAAAAGTTTAAAACAAAGTACCTAACACGGACGTTATGCTGCTCCCTCTCTCTTTTGGTCACAATCGGCACCGGCACTGGCCCATGTGTTATCTAAAATATTTTTCATGTGGAAAGGGTTTCAAATTCATTATCTGAAAAAGGACTCCTTTCATATGCTGCTCCATTAATGATCTGTATCCTGGAGTTATGCAAATGCATATAGCCAAGCTGCATTAAAGTGAGACAAGAAAATCTGAGGAATCATTCATAAGCCTTTACCTACCGAAAGCAGCAGCGATTCAAAGCGCTTTCTTCCGAAAGAGGAATTACAATTACTCTTACTTTTGCTAATGGTTCCTAAGGCGATCCTTCAGATTCATCGAATATATTTCTTTTTTCTTTTTGCCTCTTCGCCTAATATGGCTTTCCCCCCTCCAATTTCTGGTGCCGGAGAGGGAGACAAAATGTGCATGATTCATTCTTTTTTTCTATGTTGCTAGGTCTCGGCACATTCAGTATCGAGAAAAGGGACAAAAATACCCTTGATATTTCTCTTTATGCGAAGGAGAATGTCCATAAGTGTTCCCGCAAGTCGACCGACGTCATAGGAATCATCTCGATGGATATCAAATCGATATCCATCGAATTGAGTTGATCGACGTTAAGTTTTTCACGTATAACTCTTCGCGGTCACGGACTCCAACTCGAGATCCACCTAACGGTCCCTACGACGTCAGTCGACTCAAGGGAGCACCTCGTTTGCTTTCCGGCATTTTTCCTGTCTATGCGTGCAAAGAATAACATTTTTCCCGAGCAAAAATTTTTTTTGTTGCAGTCTTTCATATTCTTCTCAGACCGCCTTGTCTCGTCCCGTTATATCCTCGTGTTTCCCTTGAGCAAGAAACAAAATCTAATTTCCCTTCCACGTCCTGCTTTTGGCAAGAGGAATCAGAGTTGATTCGCTTACAAGTTCTGGTTCAGTTCTTCGTATGCCAAAATCAGATTCTTTTCCATGATATCTGAATTTCAAATGCATTTTCTTATTTTTCCTGTTGATTCTTAACAAAAAAAGTAGGTTTCCTTGAGCATATCAGTCGTTTCTTGCTCTACTTTACTTTGGTCTTCCTCAAAAGGAGACGAAGTCATGCCTTGTGTATTGCATAACAAGTTTGTCGAATGAGCACGGAGGCAGAAATTTAGGATAGAATTTTTATGCACCGCATGAAAATCCGATTCTGTACGATTCGTGGAATTCTATGCTACTTCCACATACTCCACTCTTCCGGAGAGTGCTCTCTTATGCGTTTCACTCCAAATCCAGGGTCGGTGAGAGACGAAAGTTTTGAGAAATGGGATTCATTGTACGCAAATAGCACGAAGTTCTGAAACACTGCTGCCTTACGTTATTTCGGTCGCTTTTATTAAACGTATTTTAATTTTTTTCAAATGAGTTTGAAGTCTTTTGTACTTGTAACACCGTCGTTTCTGTATTTTTATTTTATTTCTAGTGGGCCAAATTTCCTCGAGTATTTGTTATTTTTTTGCAGTTAAACACAAAATAAGCAACATGTAATACTCTCCAGGGTATGGGGAAAAAGCCCCCCCACCCCGGGATTTAACCCTCAACTTCTCTTACTGCAACTATTTCCACGAAATTTGATTGGGTCGAGGCAAGGCCATGGGAAATTTCGTATTGAAAATGGACACTTCCGGGTGCTGGCAGTCGAAAGGAAGAAATTCCCCAGCGATGTAGCTGCATATCATCTGGACTAACTCGTAAATTTCTTTCACAAAAATTCATTATCCAGGCTTTTTGTTCAATATGGTTTTGATAAGCCTTTTCTCCAATTAACAACTGATGAATCGATAGATAGCAATACAAAGAGTTTGTTTTAAGTTCCTTCGGATTTTCCCTCAAATTTTCTCTCACGTGGCACCAGACTTAATTTAGTGTGAGACCTCGAACCTGTCTTGAAACATATAGGCTTTTCTGGATTGTCGCCTCCACACAAGATGCTTTAACCGGACATCCTCTATACCAGAGGTGCTCTTGTTTTTTGAACTCACGGATCGTATCGACTGACTTTATCTACGAGGTCTTTCATTCCACCTTCATCTAATATTGAAAATGAATAAGACCAAAAGCAAGCAAACGAATGATTTTTCCTGATCTGTTTATTTGGAAATTTTAATGGGAACTGCGACGTTGGGATAACGATCGCACAACTTGGGAGAATATTTCCGCCTTGTTGTTGGCTGTCGCTCGAGGGCCACTCCACTGTTTTTGTTTTTTCGGTCTTCGTAAGCGAAGAAGCATAGCCTCTAAGATATCAAGCCCTTCAAATTCGCTCAAGAAGCGGTAATTGTTCTCAATAAGATTCAGTCTTTCGTAACTTAATAACTACCTTCACTGCTGCCATAAATTATATCTGCTGGAAATCATTTTTAAATATCCTTCACTCACGATGAACTCCAAACTCATATGCGTACATGTGGAAGACAATGGCACGAGCAAATTAGGAAAACGTATTCATGCCGAGACGGAGGAGGGAAGAAGAAGTAAGTCAACTGACCTTTGGATTTATTCTGGCCGGGTTGATCAGACTGGAACATTTCGGTGATGACCACCTCGCTCGGGCTTTCTTCCCATAATTCCTCCTCCTTGGTCGTCAAGGCAACGCTCGCCCCAAAAACGAGCAATGTTAGATGGAGAAGTAATCGCATCTGTAATGTCAAGAACACCGTGACAGGATCACTTTCACATTCTCGACTGTCAGCTACACATACACGGACAGGTGAGACAATAAGCTAGGGCTAGGCTCTAGGCTAAAAGGGGCTCAGCACAACCCAGCGACCAACAAGGGATGCAAAGCTCCCCCTCATACACGAGGAAGGAAAGATTTCCAGCCAAGACCAATGAGAAACGAGCACTCTCAAGTCAGCACTCCCCTTCTCAACTGTAGTTGATTGCAATAAAAAAAAACGGCGAAGGGAAGCAGGAAAGCTCTGGAGTGAAGAGAATAGACTCTAGACTGACTGGAGGAGACTAGAGAGATGCCCATAAAAGGGCATGAAGCCCCCCCCCCCCTCTTCCCTTCCTCTCTTGCTCCCTCCCTTCTGTGCCCTCATAGCAAGCATCTGCACTCCTCCGCTCCGCGCAGCCTTCTTTCCCAGGCGGTTCTCCTTTGTTCCCCCCAAAAAGGGGATTATCCCATCAACTGTCCCAGATCTCCCCATCCGATCCCCAATGAAGATTCATCACCATCCCTCCATTTGCCCGCCCTAGAGTGTTGTGCTTTCCATTACATACTTATTTCTGATAATCTCCCATACAATGTGCTCCATCCTCCGGGAATACAAGGATATCGTTTTTGTTGCTCTCAGAGTAAGATTTGTTGAGAAGCTCATGAGGCTAAGAGATTCTTTCCACGCAGAAGGAGTCTCGATAGAGCACCCTCACTTCTAGCTCCGAAAGGAAACACTGCAGCTGCAGTTACACTCAAATACTCCTTTGTTCAATCCTTCTGCAAAAGATTCCGTGTTTTATTATAACATTGGAAATTTACATTACCAACGACGCTTTTCTTTATTTATTCACCTTCAAGACATGACTAAGACCAAATATATCCCAAATAGACCAAATAAATCCCTCCCTGTCATTTTGCGAAGGATGACAGGATTTATGTGCAGTCGACGCTCACTATATCGAACTCGAAGGGACAGGCTAATTAATTTTATTAGGAAAATTCATTTCAGGGAATTCTTCACATTTCCATTTTCATTTGTGGATGACTTTCCATTTCTCCTCGAGAGAGTTTCTCGCTTCCCCATCTCGCTTGAGATGATTGAGACCGACTGACAGCGCTCCCTTACTCCCCACGGCCGCACCCATTAGTGGAGGAACATGCTAAATTTAGAAATGAGATGAGAATTTCCAGGAATGCACAAAAGCAGTGGCGAGCCCAGATGCCTGGGGGGGGGGTATGGGGGTCATAACTCCCCCCTTAAAGGGATGCATTTTACAGGTTCGATTCTTAAAATTTTTTTTTGGCCCTAAAAGCAGGGTGGGTTATCATTTTTTTTCATGCCAACCCCCCCCCTCCCCCATTTGGATTTACTGCACGAAAGAAAGTAACTCTAACGTGTGCAGCATACGTAAATTTAGTAAAATACGCAACAGTTGTTCCTTCGAAGAGAAAATGACTTCGTAAAATCAATTTGTTATACAGAAACTTTTCAACGTGAATGTGAATGAGCACACGGCCGGAACTGGGAATAAATTCATAAAGAAAGTATCGTTATATCGATCATCGACTGTACATGTAAAGATGTCGCTTGCACTCCACCCGTGGGATGGCGATATACATCCGTCTCGAACTCAATCAAAAGTCACGTCAGGCTCTAATATTAATCGGCATTGCTACTTATCTGAAAGCATCTTACGCAGACACTGGACCACGTGGTGCGAGGCATGCGCAACATTAAGAGTCTATTGATCAATAATGCTGCGTTCAACCTTTACGGTCTTTGGATTTCGAGGGATACAAAAAAGTCGAAAAGGATAATCCTTTGCCTTTTTGCAAACCCTCTTGGAGAGCTCATACGAAGCTTGATGTCCTAGTTAGAATCACACTTCAATATTAAAAGCATCCAGATGGAAGATGAGCACTTTCCCAGTCGAGAGTCACAACAGAAAAAAAGATCGAAATTAGTGAAGCGGTTGAGTCACACTATAGAACCTTTTTGGATCTCTAACCCCATAATTCATGCCTACGGTTGCGCTCCCTGCTTGCGAATTGAACCAGCTCAATCGGGGTCTGCGAGGAGAAAGTTTCAAAGTAACTGCCATAATTTCCTCACTACATGCTAGTTAGTAAGACTCTAAAGTAAATTGTCAATGACTGCAATGAGTTGAAGCAGTGGCGTATATTGCTGAAGAGTCAGGGAGGGCAAGGCAGCAGGGCGGAGCGCCAAACCCCACCCGAGCGAAATCAGAGGAGAAAATTTTTATCTCCAAGAGGGTCCCAACCTCTGTCCCAGGGGTGGGTGGCCGCCCTCCGCTGTCCCCCTTCCCTCCCCCCCCGGGAAGTACGCGCCACTGAATTTAAGCATATGGGTCTGAAATTTCAACTCCAGGATGAGAAGGCAGAACTAATCAAATGTACATACCCTTCCATTCTCTTGGAAGACAAGAATGAAGAACATTATCATTCTGGAATCAGAAATGAAACAGGAGATGCAAATAAGTTATGTATTCCTATGAGGTGAAAAGGCTGCAGAAAAGAAGAAAAATAACATTATGCAAAGAGGCTTTGGTCTGGCCAGCCATGGAATGAAAACAATAATCAGTTCATCACAGGCAAATCCTTCTCAACTGCAATATGAAGACCACTCATACCATCATCATAGCCTCTGGAAGTAAACAATTAAAAATACAGATTGCACTCGAAGATGTCACAAATCCACAACAGCAGACAATCTGAATGGATGAGCAGCTCTAAGCTTATCTATGTCAATTTCCATGACCACTGGGAACAAGAAACAACGCAATTCCAGATCTTTTCAAACCACCAGAAAGTGACGCTATTCAGTCATTTTTTGCTGCATTATGAGTATGGCTGATACACTGATTCACAAATCACAGAAAATCAAGACATGAGAGATGGAGACTCATGGCTTTACAAAGAACAACCATGAAGAATACTCATAGAACTATAGTTTCATGAAACAATAAGTGAGTGCAACAATGCTTGTCTTTAGGCCAAGTGGACCACTGCTGAAGAAATCACAACATTGGTACAGAAGGAATGAAAAAAAAGGAGAATTTCCAGAATTTGTACTTCTCTTCCAGAAAGGAATGAAACTACAGTATTATGCTTAGAATTAAGTGGTAAGAACTCAAGCAGCAGATTATGCCTGAAAAGAATGCTCATTGAACAGATCTAGATTGGAGACAACTAAACTATGGGTATTTCCACAATAAGGTTTCTTCATATTGCTTTCCTTGTTTGTCATGATTCACAAATTTAACACAGACTCCCCAACACCAAGCCAACCCAAGACAGTAAGATAATTTGATATGAAGAAAGGGCAAGGTTGGCTACAGTTATCAACTAATCATGCCATTAAATGTACAAAAACAAACTGGAAGTGATGGAATGAGGTAGGAAACTTAGAAAAGTGCCTAATTTTATGTCTGAAACTGCCATTTGACATCAAAAACCAGAAAAGATAACAATATTAAATGTAGGCTTGGTGCCCATCAGAACATGCCCTCCAACGTCATATCTGGATGCAAAAATTAAGAGGGCAAAATACAATTTCCGGCTTTAGAAAATAAATACCCTCCTACGAGAGATTTCAACAATCACATGGGCATGAAAACAGTCTCTAACATGTATGAAAGAACACCACTGCAAATGGTTCACCAAAGAACAGGGGATCCAGAGACAGGACTACCAAGTCGGATGGTGATACGATTAGGGTCGGAAGGACTCGTGGGAGAAGACTTAGGTGATGGTGAGATACTAGTATTCAACCGACGGATATCACCATTGCTCAGGTTCAGATCTCCATTTGGTGTAGTCTGGGAACTGTAGGGTACATAGATCCGCACTGTGTCTGGGGTTTCCCCCCACTTAGGAGATACAGGTGTTGTGGTCTTTGGGGTTCCCAAGGAGTCATGTCTCATAGGTAGGTCACATGGTCGGGACACACTGTGATCTCTTGATGGAGATGTGGGCCCACGTGACCCAGGGTATGACTTGGGTGGGGTCATCATTCGTCCATTCCCAGGTAGGACTAGATTGCTTTCACTGAAGGCATTGCTGAGGCTATTCTTACGTCTCAGCATCTCCACATTCTCTTCTCTTATCCTGGAATCCAGCTGTATCTGGAGGAGGAAAAAGAAAATTGGATCTCCATTTGGTCAATATGATTCACAGACCTTTTTGGTTGTTACAATACTCTCCTTCAAGTTTCTGGCAGACCTAATGCAGTTGCATTTTGCTAGAAAAATATGCTATTGCACACTATTTGCACCAAGAAACTCACAAGAACCTCAAATTTTAAAAACAAAAGTGGCAAAGTCTTCTAAGTCTAAGATTTCTGCCTCACCTGGGATCTGCTAAGCATTTGTGCCGAATGGAGAGAGAATGCAGATGTTGTAGAGGTTCCAGTCATTGATGTGAGGGATGTTAAATGTCTCTCTCCCAGGGAACTCACATCATCCACAGATAAATCTGATGCTGCAAAAACATAAATTCCACAATAATCATATCCTTCACTTTTAGCAGGATGGAGAAGGGTGCTAAAAAATCTTCATTCATGAAGACTTACCATTTTCTATGTCAGGGTGGCTGAGTGCTCCTTGCTTGAGGCTCTCCATGAGTTCAACATCCTGCCTTCTCAGCAGGTTCTCCTTGATTCTCTTCTCTTCTTGTGTGAACTCAGTTCTTTGTCCCACTTTCTGTTCAAAGCTTGGTTCAACAAACATTCCAAATGGCTTCTGTGGAAGCTCTTCACTGAGAGGATGACCAGGATAATCCAGTTTAGCACGTCTTAGTTCATCCATGCACTTGATTAGACTCTCAATGACATAGTCATCATCAAAGCCAAAACTTTTCTCAAGTCGTATCTGGAGGAACTGGAAGAGCTCATCCATAGATAGCTTCATCAGAGAACGACGATGAAGCTTGAGGATGTTATATGCCTGTGCCACAAGAAGGCGTTCCCCTTCAAGGATATAGATATCCCAGAGTCTCAATGTGAGAGGAAAGGGTACCTACAGAAAAAAGCAAAATATTTCAGGACACAATGCATCTTAAATCACTGGGTTGCAAGAATTTCAATAACAATTGTCACATAGTGTTTGTTCCCCCTACCCGATCTAGGAAGCATTGAAAGAACCATTTCAAAGTGTAGATAGCAGTGTCCACACCACATCTGTCTAGATGACGCTTCAACTTTGGCAAGAATTTCTGCATGATTTTGTTATGATGGTCCTGGTACCTCATGAGCTTGGGAAAGCCATGGATGAAGAATCCTGCAAAGCAAAAAGGTCCCAGTGATCATTCAAACAAAAATTTATTCTATTTACAAATATGTCCATTAATTAAAAAAAGTAAAGAAATTAGATGGTGCCCTAAACAATAAAGATTATTGCTCTGTTGTTGACACAAAGCAGGAGGCTTATCATTGGGATTAACATTATCTTGATGTCAGAGCAGAACAAATAAAACACTAAAATGTTGTGTGCTTTCTGATTCATTTATGCCTAAGTCACTCAAATGCATAGTTGCATAGATAGTGGATTGCCTTCACTCATACTACACTAAATGCATGCCCATAAAGCATTATTCCAAGGAGTCTTTTCTCCTAATTTTGCTGGTTGGCATGTTTTTAGATAGCTTAATTCTTGCCACTTCAGAATAACAGGTTAAGTTGGATTTTATTGGCAATTTTTTAATATTAAAATATACATGAGTCCAATTGTCTCGAAGATCCTTTACCTCCAAATCTGTAATCACATCTAAGGTGCTAGGTAAGGAAAATGATACTAATGCAGTCAAAGAGGATACTATGGTCATCTCAGTGGCTGCAATCAGAACACTGTAGCATATTAACTATCACTAGTTGCTGAAACAATTTAACATTAAGCAGAGAGGCTTGTCTATACAGCCAGCACTGTTGAGTGGGAAGGCAACAATTTTCATCTTTGTGCAGTAACAACTGATTCAATGATATCAGAAAGGTCATTCCAGAGTGACAGACAAAAAAACCAGTTTGGTAGCCTGGTGAAGTTTGGTAAGAAAAAAAAGTTGCCCATGGACAACCACAGCATGACCACCTATAATTTGTCATATTTACATAAACCCGGAAAGCTCAAGATGCTATCACTGATCTTTCCAAAAAGTGAATATCTTTTGCCAACATCATTTGCTTGGTATGGGAGACTCAAAGGAAAAGAGAGCATTGGACATTGCCCTACCATAAACTGTATCACATCATGCCAGGATCAATCTTATACTGTCACAAATTGATACTTGGGAGAGAATATAAAATTGCAATAATTTTATGAATTTGATATTGATCAATTGAAAAATGTTTTAATTTCACCATTCCAAAAAAACTGAACAGTAGAGAGGCAGTGAACTGAAGATCCCTTCCACCTTTCCTCAATCTCCTTATCAAAATTACAATATGAGTCATCATGTATTATACCTGAAATCAAGGAGAATTAAGAGACCTTCCAACCTTAAAGAATCTGTCATGATTGGTGCATGGAATTTTGAGCAATGAACAAGGAAGGAGAGGGCAACATCCACTCATGTTTGGGGAGACCAATCCGTTTTTTCTTGGAATGGTATATTTACACTAGAAATTAGATGGTGCCCTAAACAATAAAAGCAGAATAATTATTCATCTCCACAGTAGAGAAAAGACCTAAGGTACTGGGGGAATACTACCAATACTACCCATAAAACAAAATTTGTCCCCTGCATATGGAGTGAATTCTCAAAAATCAAAGGAAGGTGATAAAATTCCAATAAATTTTGCAAAATGCATACTTATATACTGAGGGCTTTTTCATATTATCCATTATTTTGATAACATGAAAAAGGGCTATTTCTTGCTTTCCTAAAAATGATCATAATTGTATATCTGCTCTTTTGTTACGTAGTCAATGATATTGTGTCAGACAAAAGAAAAACATAAAATCAAGTGTTGACATGAAAAGTTTACAGCAATGTAAAATATTAATCAGTTGTGTCTGGCTTTTACGCATGAAAGTCAAAATATGGGCTATAATATATTTTAAAATAATTGAAATAAAGAAATGCACTAGGCAAGACTATTCCAAGCAAGACTATTCCAAGATATTATGGTAATAATATATTTTAAATTCAGTTTGCTGCAACGTTAACATTTCTTATACATTGGATGTTGCAAGTAGACAAAGTTGGGGCATAGGATATCCACATATGTGAAATCATCACTTAGATTTCTCCACCAGTTAACCTCAGAATGTCTGACTGAAGGTCATGAGGGGAAAATATACAACTTAAACATATTCATGCAAATGATTTGCTAATTCATTATTGATACATTAGAACCCTAGGAAGACAAATTAGGAACCTTTACATTAACATTGGGATGCAAGTAAGAAGAGATGTCTTTAATTAGAAATGAAAACCCTTATACAGGGTGGGCCACGAAATGATGATGGTTTTCCTTTTGTTATATGTTGACTCCCAGTAAAGACAGCTGCATAACCTGTGACTGGGAGCTGCAATAGGATCTGGATAAATTGTCGAGTGTATGTTTTGGAATGAGGGTTAAGGAATAACTAACAATGCAGCAAAAGAATAAAACTGTGCTGATGTAAGCAGAGACAAAGAGTGAGACTGTTTTGCAATGATGCTTCATAGCTTTTCTAAGAAAAAGATGGGCTCCAAACAGGAACACTATCCTGCACCATTATCATTTTGGTTCTTGCACAGTCCCTCTTGTTCAAATTGATAATAAAGGTGTAGGATAGTGCTCCTGCTTGGGAGCCCATTTTGTCACTAGAAAAGCTTTGATGTGTATTTGCAAAACGGTCACGCTTTTCACTTTAGTGTACATCAGCATAACTTTATTCTTTTGCTCCATTGTCAGATATTCCTAAACCTTCATGTCCAAACATACACTCAACAGTTTTTTCAGGTCCTATTGCAGCTCCCAGTCACAGGTTATGCAGCTATCTTTACTGGGAGCCAATATATAACAAAAGAAAAACTGCCATCAATTCATGGCCCACCCTGTATGAGCTATGATATGAATTAAATTTTTGCTCTCAGAAAGAAAAATGAAAAATAAAGATGCATTATTTGCAATTATGATTATAGAGTGGGTTTATATGACTTAAAATTTGCTTAAGCCCCTGTCTGTCATAAATCCAGATACATGGTTCCCTCTCAATGTTCTGCCATCACTCAGACCCATTCTTGAAGTCTTCCTATGCCCTGAATTGCAAAAATAATTGTAAACATAATATGGTTTGAACAAGTTGTGCAAGTAAAGTAAGCATGTGTTGCTAAAGAAGATATTAGTGAATCAAAATCAATTTTCCAAAAGCACCCAATTTTTAATAAGTTTCCTTACTTTGTTTATTAGGAAATGAAACAGCTAATTAATAAACTAAAAAACAACACAGAGGGTGTGCAGTGTGTTAAAAAAAACTCCATAGAGAGAGGGTTTAATAAGACCAAAAATATAATCTAATCCCAGGAGGCCCAAAAATTGTCCCAAAATTTATATATCTGCAGATGAGACACTGTATTAAATATCATCTTGAAATTTTCAGTGTCATATCCAATATGTGTAGGTGGTTGTGGTTTCAGGACAATTTCAATGAAATTCACTGCTCTGAACACAAGTAAAAGAGCTCTTTCTGTATGAGTTCTCAAATGAAATAGTGTCAGTTGCCTTGGGTGCTGCCTCCACAGGTGATTGCCAGAGGACACATCAATGAAGGATCTGTCAAACATTTCTTTCATCGAGGCAAGTCGTGTTTCTTTGCATACTTGCCCTTTTGACATAGTGTGGGAGAAAATCTGTTATGTAGTTTTCCAATTTTACCAATTTCATAAAAAATTTTTGTAATGTCACAAACCCCGCGAATTTCCTGTCGATACCTCATATGGTATTCCATCAGCAGGCATGTAAAGTTCAGGTCTTTTTTTGGGCCACCTGGTATTTCAATGATAACCAAAATTTCCAGAACTGAGATTGACACAATACAAAAGTAAATCTACAAGAATTCCTGAAGAATATGATCAAATAGGATCAAGATATGACTGAATTTTTTACCTAACATGAATAATAAACAACATGGGGTCATTTTATTCCAATTATTAAGTAAATCATTCAGCATACAGGGATGGACATGATAAAGCAGAAAAAATATGACCTGGCATTTTAATCTACCCTCATAAGTTCATATTAGTTCTTTCACACATTGTCAGAGATCATGCTATATTATGCAGCTACTTCTGCATTTGAGCCAACTCAGACTAACTAAGGTGAACTTTTTGGTTCTTTGAGCAGCCCTAAATTGTATTCTTTACTCTTACCACCTATTAGATTACAAAATTTTTAAAGCTTTTTTCATTTAAGACTTTTTTGATGTTCAGATTCTCACCCAGAGCAGTTTCTATGCTCTTATGTATATTTTAAAATTATACATGTAACAATGGTATTCATTGATTTACTTGCATAAATCAATCTAAATTTCATTGTATATACAGTTTATGGTAGGTCAAAATCCCATGCTCACTTTGCTTTGAACCAACCTGCATATAATAGAACATATACAGGGTGTTTCAAAAGTTCATACTCATGGGTATTTTGAATTAATTAAATTTCTCAATGAATGAGTGCACCAAAATTAGTACAGAAGTACGAAGGAATATTCAGAGGGGTTACGTGCCAGGATTGATATGTGTGTGCAAGTTCATGGCATGCAATTTGAGCATTTAATGAAATAAAGGTAAATTAGGAAATCTGCCTATGAGTCAGGACTTTTGATACACCCAGTAGTAAGATAATCTGAAATACCATACCATGCATGGCATATTTCCCATCTGCCATCAGTGCAGACAATGCCCAGAAGGCATCTTCTTCCTCACTTAAATACATCAGAAGAAGAGCTGCAATCTGGGACATCCCTTGACAGTATCCAATTTCCATGTTGTATATTGAATAAGCAGCCAAAACATGGAAGAGCTTCTGTTGCTGTGTTCCATAGCGTTCCAAAAAATCTTCATGGTCCCTGTAGGTTCGATTGACATCTAGGTCTATCTGCCTGATGTCTGGTGAAGAACGACGTGCTATCGCCCTCATTCTCTGATGAAATTAGAATAAAAACCATTTTCATTAGTATAAGCGAAGCCTACCTCTTGTGTATTTAGAGCTGGGGTGCACAACCTATGGCTCATAGGCTACATGCAGGCCACAAAGCCCTTGCCCATGGCCTGTCATAACTGGTGGTGTTGTAAGTGCTACTATGACTCCTGCCCTGTTGGCCACAGCTATGGTCAGCCAGACTGTGGCTCGTGGTAGATGATTAATAATTGCAAATGGCCCTCACAGTCTTTTAAGTTGTGCACCCTGATCTAGAGGGTGGTCCCAAAAAAAGGAAGCCCTTACCTTTGTGTGTAATTACAATGAACTCAAATGACAACTATCAAATAATAAATAGTGTTCTGAGGGATATATAATTCCCTCTTATTGCATCAATATAAATACTTGACATATCCTCCATTCTATTCAATGGTGTGCTCATCATCATGAAGACCATTGTCAAATTATGCACCACAACAAGCAGAGGGGCAGGGCTTGCAAAAAATCAAGCATTGGTCCATTAAAATCTTCAATGCTCAGGATTTTGTTTTGGTTGAACTTTTCTCACAGCATATCCATACAAAGTAAATAACTAAGTCTGCACTATTTTCATGAAACTGTCTTCATATATTTTGCCAGACATTCACAAAATATCAGATGCAAAATTTTCCTACCAATAAAATGGTGACATCTCAGGCAATTGTTGATTACCAGTGAAATGAAGTTCCAGATGTTATTGAACTTCCTAGACCTTACTGGTCACTTAGTATGTCAAAAGAAAATTTATACCAAAACAAACCCAGAGCATTGAAGAATGGAAAAAAGCAATGGTCAATTGGTGGCAAGCCACGTCCCTCAGCTCACTGCCATGCACTATTGGACAGTAGCATGCTTAACAGTAGGCCACCATTGACTAGAAGGGAGGAAATATTGAGTTACAGTCCCAGGGATATAAGGAGAAATCATATTTGATTCAGTATAATGATTTTGCCTCAGAGGTGCCACAGCTATTTTAAACAATTATATCAACAGATAGAGGCTTCCTTTTATTGGGACCACTCTGCAGAAAAGTAAAAACCATTACCCCATACACTCCTGCTTGCTCTTTCTTCTGTTTTTCTAAGCCAAGAAGCTTGCTCCAGACAGCGCCTCTCATGGACTGCGGGATTCCTTTATAAATACGTGTCTTGAGCTTCTCAGACCGGTGGTACCGATTCCACTCTTGGATCATCTTGAGCCATTTTCTCTCTCTTCTCACTCCAGTTTCTCGTTGCTTCTGCTCTTCTGGTAAAAAAGTGTCTGGCAAGCGTGTGTCACTGCAACATTGAATGCAAAATGTTAAAAACTTTTTTGCATATTCTGCTGTTTCATGAATATCATTGAATTTCAAAGAGAGATACATTTCTTTCACCTCACCTAGTACACTATACACTGCTTACTGTAATCACTGGTTCTTGATATCAGCTGGATAATCAGATCAACTCTTGAAAACTAAAACCACATGTTGTATTTCATTAATATTTTTCTTGTGTTTATGATATCATAGCTAAGGGATGTAGAAGATCCCACAACAACTTGCCATATATGTACTAGGGTGCATCAGAGAGAACTATACAGTGGATTCTGAAGAGCAGTGAGATTGTGCTATCTGCTCTAAGAACCAAAGAATTTCAAAGAGCAGTGCATTATTTATGGCTCACCCAATATACATTCATCAGGTGGGTGTGTCTATCAATGGCCCCCTATACATGATGAATGATGCATGAAATGGATGCTCAAATTCCGGTCAAGAAGTCCATGGTTCTGAACATCCAATCTAGGAACTCTACTTTGTTAGTAGTGAGCCCCTCGATTCAGCATGGTCTATCATACATTTGAGCATAACCATCACTATGAAGCTAGATTGGGGTAAGCCAGTCAACTCCATGGTATTCAAAAGACATTGCTTGGCCTCCTCAAAAGAAATACACAGCTGCTTATGGTAGCAAGCCCATAGCATACTTGACTATCTTGGAGTATGTGGATGAAGTAGTAGCAGTTTATCAAGTGAGGCCAGGCCTACTTAAAATGTTTCAGAACATATACTTCCCTGTACAACTTTGAAATTTTCCTTTAATCCCTTAACAGGCAAGTTCCATGCAGCTGTGGCAGGCTGGGTGAGTAGTTTTTCCTGCAGCAACTTGCACATGCAATGGAGCTTCATTTAACTCTTATTTATTCAAGGGAAATAATCTTTCATGAATGTTTCCCTAAATGACAGTCCCATATCTTCAAATTCCATGTTCACACCATGTGGGAGAATGGTCAAGATGAGAACTCACATCATATCCAGTAACACTTTAAAAACTTCAACTTAAAAAGAAAATCTCTTAGGAATACTGAATTCACTCTCATTTAGTGTAAACCAAGTGAAACCAAGAGTTCTACTTTATACCTACTATGACTCAGAGGAAGCCAGAGGTGAAAGGCCTCCTCTGGCCTGTGGATAAAACAAAGGGGTATTCTGTACCACAAGCAATGTTATAGTACATGTAGCATGGGAGGTAAACTACCCAGTGTTGATAGTAGAATCTTACAAAATGAGAATGGTACCACTCATGCCTGTAGCCTAGGCAGAAGTAGATCCTGGCTTAGTGTTAGAATTAGCACTGATGGTACTACTGGCACATTAATATAGGTACCAAGGATGAAGAAGTCTAAAGCTCCAAATAAATATTTTTCACACCATCATGATACCACAAGGTAAACTTATACCTCTGCTATGATAAATTTTTAAAATACAAAAGGAATGAACTTAGCACTGTCAATATTTTTTCATTTGGAACAAATGCAAGACTTCTCTTCTCTCCCTATATGTTGAAATGCTTATACAGAGCAAATCCTGAACCAGCCTTCTCAGCATTTGCTTCTTTAGGACTGACTTTTCAACAAATATCAAAGTTGGCCTAATTGTGCCTTTCACCATCTGGTGAAAATTCTGAAATGGTTTCCCCAGGGTGTGCACTCAACAGGCAAGTTGGGCTGAGGTATGGGATTCTGATGAGGTCAGAGACATGCTCCTTCTTGAAAGGGAGCAAAAATATGCAAAAATGATTGCAAAACTGACTGGCTGAGGAATAGCATACCTAGTATAATTTTGTATCTTGCATGTTCAGCCATTGGGTTTTAAATTATGATTTGGCTAGCTTCAGGAAATGCCAAACCACCTCAACAAGAACAATGGAGAACTAAAAACTAGAGAATAATTTGACCTGCAGCATGTTGCTCCTCCACAAATGTCTAGCCTAGACCTACCAGTACTACTACTCCCCTACCAAGGGTACATTGCTTAGTTAAAGGCTACGATGTCATCGAGTGCACCTGACTCACTGAATGAAACCGAAGCGATCCTTTTTATGACACCTCTCGTCAAACTCTGGATCTTCCCATGGGTCTATGTGGGCTCTTCCTTCTCTTCCACGATCATACTTTTCAACGATTGTTATTCGTTCCTCTTCAGCACGACGCAAAAGTTCATGTTCATCTTGTGCTGCATCACCACTGCCAGCCATTGCTCATTTCTTGACGAAATGGGCCAGATTACGTAGGCCAATGGGACTAGGCCTAGTCAAGCCGACTTGCAGCCTGGCAGTTTTGTTCCCAGGGACAAAACCCAACCCCCAACCAGCGTAAGGTCCTGAAACATAGATTAATGAAATATCGGAAAATGAAAAATTGTTTAGAACATTACTTCATCACAAATACTCGCTCAGACTATATTAGGTCAAGCTAGGTCACCCAATACCTCGGCTACTTCAGCCGTACGGATCCGTACGGCATGGAAAACGCCATATTACAAGTCCTTGTTAACAATTATTCTCCCTAGATGGCTCTATGTACAGTGATTAGCAAATGAATTTCGTACCAGTTTCAAAGCAAGCCTGAACATTTTTTAAGCTGGAAATATCCTCTCACCTTCTTGAATCCACCATGGATATAACTTGTAAGATGATAAAGGAGGTAGGAATTCATTTGCAAATCAGTGCCCAAGTATGGGATCGGACTTTCGGATTGACTTCCTAGAACTGGACATTGTGTTGGGGATTCGTCGAACTGGGTATTCAGGTCGTCCTTTGTCGAAATGATTTCATAAACTCTTGGGTAGACTGAATGGATTTTTCTATGGAATTTGAGTGTACGAAATCAATTCGAAGTGAGAATGCAGCGAACCCAAAGCTTGGGTGGACTTAGTAATAATCTTACATAATGTAGGGCGGTGTGATTCTCCCTTTCTCCCCTCTCTGCTACTTTCACTTTGTGATTGTTTTGGACACGGGCAAGATCCAGTTGGGCGGTTCTGGTGTTGTTTCATCTGGTTCTTCTGTCTTTCCTCTTACGCATTCCTATCTGTCGCGGCGTTTCCATGGAGGTTTCAATGAAGAGCTTTTAGCAGCAGCTGACTTCATTTACAATGAGACGTTTCCATGGGAGTGTCTCCCTTTCTGATGCGCTTTATCCTTAGACTGCATGGAAACACGCTGTGTCGACTTGGCCGTTGATACATGAAAACTTACAGTCAGGGGGCAGATGTAGAGGCCAGATGGCCACTGCGCATGACCATGGAAGCTTTGCAAGGTAAGGGCTGGCGAATACACTTGGCAAGAACGCTCACTAGCGAGTGCTTGCTGGCGAGAGTACTCGCTTACGACACTCGCTTAGTATATCCACTCAGTCACCAGCACTTGCTTAGAATTTGAGAATTCTAAGCTTAGAATTTAAACTTCAGGCGAAAACCCTCAAGCAAGAATTGAAAATGGCAACCTGAAGGTAAGATAGTCCCCCCTTCTCCCTTGATGGCAATTGAAAATGGATGCGAATGCGTCTCGTATGAGTTCGGGATCCACCTGGCTGCCACAGCTCGATTTTTAAGTCATTCTTGCCCTCAAAAAGAGCAGTACAGCCCTTGATTGAACAAATGCGCAGAGGTGGTCTAAAAATAATAATCAAATACACTCATTTTATCGGTGGCGTTTCGTCAGTACCAAAACTGGAGGATCGTAAACGATTTGGAAGAGGGTGAATCCAATGGTTTATGCGTAATATGACCAAGATGTAGAGAACAAAGGTAATCTCCCTCATCTGAAGCGTTGAGCTTTTACTATATTCACTCGGATATGGACATTTCCCCATTCTTTGAAGAATCTGTACTTCCATGCACATATACATATATCTGTGCGTGTTTGTTGGTGTAAAAAAAAAAAACAGTTGATCAAAAAGCCAAACCAAATCAAACTTCTACCGGGTGGCACAAAAAAAAAACGCGTCGTGTTTGACGCATTATAAAATCCGTTATGGATGATCTAGGTTCGTGAAATTTTCATATTACGTTGGAAACACCACAAAATTTTTCTGAAAGCTTCATGTACCTAAGTTGTCTGAATAAATATCGACAGTCGCTGAAAGTGGAGTCATAAAATGGACCTTTCCGCTCACGAGGTGGATGGAGTTTCAAGACTACTCGAACGATTTCTCTCCCTTGAGGTTATGAATACCGCTTTTTACGCCAGTTCTCATCGTAGTATTCTGCGTGGTATCGATTCTGATACTACGATGTACGACAGTAGTACTATTCTACGATGTGTTGAATACTACGTCATCGGTAGAGCTCCGTCCTCTTGTACTCTACGTCCCCCATTTACGCTTCTCTGCCATTATGCTATCTTCTTCATTTTTCTTCCCTATTGTTTCTTGGCATTTTATTCCAACAGGGATTAATTATTTATTGAACCAGAGTTGGCTGTGGTGCAGGGCCGGATTTAGAAGTTGCGAGGCGCGGGGCAAGTGGATTCTTGGCCCCCCCCCAACATTTTACCTGTTGGTGCTTGTATCCTAGTGGAGCCACACAGTCTAATGCTGGTGGTGCAAATTTCGATTTTGTAACACTTGTGCTACTGTACACAAATACTTGTTTTTAATTTCCTTCGGGCGGCCCCCTGGAAAAGTGGGGCCGGGGGGCAACAGCCCCCTTTACCCCCCCCCCTTAATCCGGCCCTGCTGTGGTGACTAAGCATGCAGGTTCGGATTGCAGCACACCTACAGTATAGAAACCTTCTCAGTGAAGCAGAATTCTCACTTTCTTCTGCTCTTTTCTTTCTGAGCTTGGCACGTAGAAAGATCTTTCGGGCACGGTTCCCAGTAGAGCTTAATTTCTCATTGACTGTTGGTCGGAGGCTGGCTGCTCACTTGAGCATCGTCACATCCACCTCCGCAGTACACGCTGCACTGGTGTGTGTGTTCCATTAACGTGAGCGTGAGCTCTTTCCAACTAATGGAGTGTGCTCCTGTGGTGGTTGTGAGATGGACTTCAGCTGTGAGTGCAGACACCTGACAGCCTTTCAGTCATACTCTTTCCACTTCTAACTCTCCTTCGCTCTATCGGGAATTCCGAAAAAGATGTCTGCACTGAAGGTTTTAGCAGGACCGTGCCTCCATATGAGAATCTTGTGGAGCTTTCAGAATACATAGTCGACAAGTACAGGTGTCCGTAGCTGATGGCTAGTCCCGCTCAGTGCCTTGCTTGAGAGTTGTAATAAAAGTTTGACTTGGTTGACCTTTTTCAACTGTTTTTTGAACACACACACACACACATACAGGATGTAACAAAAGTCAGAAATCATAGGGAAACAACATGGGGATCATTTCCAGTCTTGAGTTTTGGAACTCACAAGCCAATCTGAGTTGATTCTGGAACTCCAAAGTTCCTTTAATCTCAAAATCTGGTCCAAGTGACCCAAAGTGACCCAGATTGACCCTGGGTTAATACATACTGACTGGCGCACGATGGACATGCCTCCACATTTCTCATTTAGCAATTTAAAAGTTTTCTGCTTAAAAAAAAAAACAAGAGATTTTCGTAAAATACCACACTGGGGATTTCAATGGGAGATTTGAATATTTCTTTTTCACAAGAACGAGGACTTGGTTTCGGCATTATATACAGTCTTGAGTTGCGGAAATTTATTCTTGAAATCCCAGTGAATTACAATGCCAGTGGTCGAGCTGCTTTATCATTCTGCTTACCACTAGCTGGGTGAAAGCTCTTAGCAACCCGTCGGAGTGTAGGTCAATCCGCAGACAACCATATTTAGGAATAAGGCTTCTTTCACCAGGGGCAAATTGAGCATCGTCATCTCTGTGCATGCTGGACGTCGTCTGTCTGTCGGCTTTTTGGCCTAAAGCATATAAGAACGTAGGCCGATGCACACTGCGACCGTCTGCGAAGTTGGCAGCCATTTCTTGACTGCGACCGCATTTCCCAGACTGGTCGTAGAGCTCCCAAGCGAAATCCATCATGGCAGTGTACGATTTGAGAGCTCGTGCTGCAACAGAATTTGGCTTTTTTGCGGCCCCAGGGAAAATGTTCTCAACAGTGGTAGGTACATCCTGTACACAGATTCCGTCATTAGATGGGAAAATACGCGACTCCAGTAGTAAATATTATCACCGAAGTCAAGGAGTGCTTTTCTCCTGTCTATGAAAGTGTCTCCTGAGCTGTTCAAGACCCTTATTAGTTTGCTGGAGGAGAGGGCAGGACACAAACTTCAGCTCATGCCTTTCCCCAGTGCAAATGGTGGCAGTGACGCTGAGGGGGTAAATGCATACTCGATACAAATATTCAGTATATCTCAAATACGTATATATCATGCAGCGCTCTCTTTAAGGTGGGTAAGACTTTCAGGTTTTTGCTCTTGAAGAACAAGTGCTTCTCAACTTAAAAAAAAAATTAAATTAAAATTCAGAGATCAAAACAATGGAAAATAATAAGGAATGTAATTAATATCGAGACCTTTCGAGGAAATTTATTTCGTATTTCTATGGGGACTCAATGGTGATGATTGGCATCATCTACCGCCGCACTCATTCCACCTAAAGAGCCATCAAATTAAGTCTCCAGGATTATATAACTTGCAGTCAATAGATACGCAGCACGAACCACTGCGAAAACGCGACAGGAAATGACTCGTCCGATTCCGTTGCGAAGCATACTGCGACCGACTGTGAAGGTCCCACGCATCTCCAATGCGACCGATTGCAACGAACTGCGACGGTCGCAGTGGTCGCAACGCAGCTTTTCGCAGTCGATGTGCATGGCCCCTATTTCTTAAGTTTGAGTAGCCTTGTCGTGAGACGCTTAGAGCCAATCATTGGCAGTCGATGGCATTTACAGTGACTTCAGTAGTAATTGCCATTGGAATGGGAAGTACTTCCGACTTCTATCTAATATTCCTGGTATGTTAGGCAGACCGTAGAAAAAGGTCGAATTAGCTGTTAGTAAGCTACTCAACGCCGGCCGTGCACCCCTTGAAGAAGCCGGTTGAACAGCGTCAATAAATCTAGCTTAGAGCTTCGGTATCCGTTCCTTCGTAACTTTCCTTTGCCTGGAGTCTCTTGTTTGTCAGGCAGCTTGCTGACCAAGTGTCTAAACTTTACATGGTTTTCACTAGTGATGAATATGCAAAATTCCACTAATTATTTTAGGGAGACGAGCAAGTAAAATGACATGATATCGAGGCCAGCTGGCAGGCCCTGCCTACGCTGACGTCTTTCACACCGCCCCACGCGCGAAAATTTCATGGGAAGGATCGAGCTTAGTCAATTCGCTATGACAAGAACGGGATTGTTGTTTATCAAAGGCTCAAAGTT